CGGGGGAAAATGAAATAAATTCACAGGAAAGAAAACGAAGAAACAAATTAAATAAAGTGTAAAAAATGGTAGAATAATTTTTAGAATGATTTCCGAATGAGTTTAAAAGTATTTTACTATTGAATGATAGTAATCAATTAACCAAATATCTGTAGAAACATAGAAGAAAAAATGCTGAGAAATATTGTGGTCTTAGGATAAGATAAACAATTCCGAGCCATTATCCTTTACACCACAACACACATCTAGGAAAACTGCACCTATTATTCCCAAGTGGTCATACATCTAGGTATTGGCCAGGTTCGACATAGCTTAACTTTGGTGATCGTAGAGGAACCGGTGTCTTAACGTGATATGTCCATATGCCCCAATTTCGCGATTGACGTTATGAATAAATTGTCCAAAGTTCATGTTTTGTTCTTCTCATATTAAAATAGTTCATCCGACTATCACAGTCATTGTCAAGAACTGCTGTTTTTATCAGTACGGTAAGCAAGGGTTATTTAAATAATTATTGTTTCACACACACGCGCGAGCGCACGCACACACATACACACACACGCACACACACACACATATATATATATATATATATATATATATATATATATATATATATATATATAATATATATATATATATATATATGAAGAATTTGGATAAATGATCCGGTGACAGAGTTATACATTAAATGACAATTGGAAAAAAACGTTCATGAAAGTACAATGTTTCTAAAAATATCCGATAATGCATTATTATTTTCCCAATCTTTAATTGAAATGTACTTTCATGAACGTTTTCTCCAATTGCCATTTAATATATATATATATATATATATATATATATATATATATATATATATATATATATATATATATATATATATATATATATATATATATATATATATATATATATATATATATATATATATATATATTAAAAAATGCCTTCCCGTTAAAGTTCCTTTGGGAGGAAGAAATGTTTTATCAACAATGACTCCTCTCTTATTTACAAACTTTGTGTATGATTCAAAATTTATTTGGTGATTGTGAGTTCAATCCCTGGACCGAGTAGTGCAGTCTTAGACTTAGCGGAAACATGGTGAGCAATAACTAAGTAGTACTAAATATGAACAAGACATGATATCCATAGACACGGACAGTCGAATGAGAATAATCTATTCTCGTAGACTAAATAAAGGGTTAAGTTCGAAATTCCCTGAAAGCAACCTGGATCGACAAACACCAGATTATGGTGCGATGGCATAACGACCGAAACCTTGTGATAATAACAACAAAGATGAGAAAAATAGTTTGAGTGTAAATAATATAAATAATGATACCTTATCATCCCTGAAATTCAAATAAAAATTATGTGTAAAACTTCACTAAACATGAGTCAAATACCAATCGTAACAACAGCAAAGAGAAAATGACTGTATAAGATATGCATACAAAATATGAGAGCGAAGCAAAGGTAAAAGAAAAGAAATTGAAAGAAAAGTATATATTTAACAAAGACAAAACTTCTAAATCGAAAGAGAAAAGACAGAAAACACGGGGGATAAACTTTTAAACAAAAAAAAAAATGAGAGAAAATAAAATAAAACAATCTTTTTGTTACTCTAAAGGGGAGATAACTCTTTTTTAAAGCAATCATCCATAACTGTAGTTTATTTATTTTGAATCACAATAATAAATTTTTGAAAGCACCTGTCTTTATACTAATTAAAACACTAAAGAGTTCTTCAATTAGCCAATAGCATAGTGTTGTGACTCTGCTAGTGAAAAATGCCCTTTCAGCAATTTAAAATCCTGTTGCAGTTCCTTCGTATCTGTATTCATTTATTTGTAGCTAAATTTTTTTTTATTATCAAAACATAAAATTCTGATTAACCCCTTGGCGACTAGATTTCATTTTGACTCGTTCTTCTTAACTGCAAAAAATGTTTCTCCTTAAGTCAGGAAGAAGTGACAAAATGTAATTCAAAAACCTTTCAGTCAAAAATGATATTTAAACAATGAATTTAATTTGAAACGAAAAAAAAGCAATGCGCATTAAAGATTGATTTCGAATTAAGCGTTACAAGTGAACATTAATTAAAAATTAAATAAATTAATCAAAATAAGTTAATTAGCAGCGAAGAATAAAAAGAAGATAATGTCAAATAAGCACATCAGTGAACGATTGAAATCAGAAAGTTTGGAATTAAATATCGGCTAACTGATTTCTAGTTCCAAGCCAATATCCACTACACCACCCGCATACCCAAAAGCTACTCTCGAAAATATTACTATGGCCATATACCAGAGCTCCTTCGTGGCTCGTGGCAGTCATCAAGAAACACCCTATGCCATTTCTAGCCAAATAAAGAAGCTTTTAGCAAAATGAACGAGACTGTGAGTTTGCTATGAAATATAAAAATGTTTTTGATCTCCCAAACAGTAGGGTGGATAAAGTCAAATTCTCCGAAGTTAATTAGAGTTAGAATTAATCTGTCACCATTATAATTTTATTGTAGCTGAACAATTAAATTCTTACACTTAAATTTATACCTACGGGCAATTTCGACAGAAAAGATAGTGGGATTGGTGGTGCTGACCTCAAAGGACCTTTTCTCAGCCAAACGAAAGAACTTTAAAAATGGGGATTAAAAATGAATCTTGATTTTTTTTTGTTTTGTTTTTTTAATTTTTTATTTTTACTTGTAAAACGTTGTGCAATCCTGTAAAAGGGTTTAAGATTAAAATGATAAAATTTCCAGGTTTAAACTTTTTCAGTTGTTTTAATTTGGTTAATAAATGAGTAGTTTTCACATTAAATTATAGAAAACTGCAGAGCCTCGACCCTCCAAAATTGTACAGTGGAACTCGTCCAACTTTCAAGCAGTGTCTTCCACATGCCATCAAGACAACTCTCCTCAGTAGAGTAAGCAAAAAGGAGAATGTGTTCATCCCTAGGATCCTCACTGATTGAATTACATTATGTCTGAATTTCTGGGATAATGAGGACTTACCATTATTTAAATGTAAAATCCCCTGAAGGTTATTCGAACCGACAAGTACCTGATGAAGGCCGGATAGCACACCGGTCGAAAAGTTGTAATAATTACAACAAAGATGAGGACGCATGTAAATAACGCAAATGATGATTGAATTACTACAACGATTCGCGTTAAGTCCTTCTTTGATATACCATGTCGTTTTAGGAATTTGGGGATTATGGTTCTCCATAACGTCCTATCTTTTGTTGTTCTAGTTCTTTTTCCTTTTTATCCTTCATCTGCTATCTGTTCACTCAAATTCGTCAAGTAGGTTCCTCGCAATTTCCATCTGTTTCATTTGTCGTTAATATGCCCCGTGAGTGTTAAATTCTTCAAGTCTTCTCTCCTCATTACGTGCCACAGAAATTTCACCTTTTTTTTCTGTTTTCTATTAGTAGTTTCCAGGTAATTTATATTTTCTTTAAAGCTTCGTTGTTGCTCACATGTTCAGTCTATGATATTCTCAGCATCCATCTGTAGAACCACATGTCTGTCGTTTCAACCATTTTCTTCTGTGTGAGATGGTTGTCCAATATTTACTGCCATATAGATTAGATATTACATAGCAGTCCAGCACACTTTCCTCTATTTCTTAATATTTTCTTTGTTTCTGAGACTAGTCTTACATTATTGTTATTTTGAATTTCTACGTCATGCCTTCTATCGTCTATTAATAAACTACTCAAATAGCTACAATTCTGTACCTGATTCATTTTGACTCCGGTACTAAACATCGATTGCAAGAAGACAGAATGCATGGTCGTTAACAGTAGAAATAGCCCAAAATGCAAATTAAAAATTACAGATACCAAAATCAAACAAGCGCAAAAATTTAGATATCTGGGAAGTGTTTTAACAGAGGACAGAATTTGTGACACTGAAATCCGAAGGTGAAATGAGATAGCGAGTGCTGCTTTTCAAAACCTAAGCAAAGTATTAAGAAACAGAAAAATTTCGTTAGAAACAAAGAAAAGAGTACTGGACTGTTACGTAACATCAGTTCCCCTATATGCCAGTGAATGATGGACAATTTCCTCATAGATAAAGAGAAGACTTTACGTAGCAGAAATGTGGTTCTACAGAAAGATGCTGAGAATGCCATGGGCCGAACAAATGAGCAACGACGAAGTTTTAACGAAAATTGAAACAAAAAGGACACTTATATGAAAGAAGCAGTTGAAACTTCTAGGGCGCATAATGAGGAAAAGAGGGCTTGGAACATTTAAAGGCAAGAGAGACAGAGGAAAAGAGCGCATAACCTACCTAACGAGTTTAAGTAAATAGATAGCAGAACAGGGTTTAGGAGAGATAACAAAAAGAAAAAAAATATTAAGACCTACAAAGGATAGGAAATTGTGGCGATCCATGTTCGACAACGTTCTGAAGGAAGACAGCACAAAACAGAAGAAGAATACGTTTATAGCTTGTAACTTGGGCTGTCTCTTTTGGTGACAATCATGCATTCTGTTTTCTTACAGATAATGGTTGATCGTTTAAGATAGAAATGCTCGACTTCTACGCATGTTGTTTAGAGATGCAATTTCAGTTATTTTTATTGAGCCAGTTCAATAGACACACTCCATCTGGTATAAGATAAACTGTAAGTAATAAATGATAAATGCATAAGGGATGGAGAAAAGAATGTTGGCAGTTCAATACATGACTGGAAGAGGATTATTGTAATGTTGATAAGGAAAGGTTTTTGTCGAACTGAATGGGGAAAATGGAAAAAATAAAAGAAAAAGTATATCAATAGAAGACATCTTAATTGACTCTGGTTGTTGAAAATATAAAGATTAAAATAAGAGGAGGAGGGGGAGGAGAATGAAAAGGAAGAGGAGAAAGAATTCGGCAATGACAAGGAAAAAAGAAATGATTAAAAAGTAGTAAGAAATTAACGATTATGAAAATGACAAAAAATTAGAAATACTATGAGGAGGGGAACTACGAATACGACAACGAAAGAAGAAGAAGGCCAAAGGAAGTGGACAATGAAAAGGAAGAAAATTTGGATAAGGACTAGAAAAACGAAAATAAATGAAGAAACATGAATGAATGAATGAATGAATGAATGAATGAATATAAGCTGAAGGGGCACGAAAAAGGAGGAGGAAAAAGAGAAGATAAAGGGACAGGAAGAAATAAAAATGAAGAAGAAGAAGAAGAAGAAGAAGAAGAAGAAGAAGAAGAAGGTATTAGAACAACAACATAAAGAGAACTAGACTAACGGACGAGAAGGAGAATGTCTACTTTATTCATCAAGAAGAAAAAGAAATAAAGTTTCCAAATTGCGTGAAGAAGAAGGCAGCTCAAAATATGCGGATAAAACAAATCGAATGACCAATAGTAAAAAGGAAAGAGCAATTATCATGCAGACAAAATGAAAGTAAGCCTTTTCGCATAAGATGCAAATGATAAGATCTGACTGATGTGAGGCATCGTTCAAACAAAACATCTTATTTTCAATGCATATATTTATTCGCTCACGGTGCTATAATACATATATTTGTATGTGCATGTGTGTGTCTCTGTGTTTGTGTGTGTACACGAAGGGTTTCTGAAAGATTCTTGGCTTAACCAAGAATATATGTCCCTGGTCACATTTTGGAAAGTGACGATGAAGAAATTCACCATATTTTTATAAGTGTCGAAAAGTACAAATTTTGAGATCAAGAGTCAAAAAGTACAAGATTTCGAATCAAGTGGCAAAAACCGACTACGATGCTTTCCTTAAAAAACATTCAAAAGGAAAATCGAATGAAATGCGAAACAGAATACATTAAGACCAATTTTCCAAACTTCCTTATTTTTCTTTACCGAAGAATTCTGTACTCGCCTTTATGAACCAGGCGGGTTGGAATTATTATTATACAGCATAAATTATCCCTTAATTCTGAATTTAATCCTGAATTTCTTACCTATAGGCGATGTAGCCTTTCCTTACAAGTTAGATTACTTTCTAATTTTACAAACAAATAACAATTATTTTTCCTTTCCATGTACCTCATTCACAGGATCTTATAAAAACAAATAACTAACATGATTCTACAGAGAAATGCTACATTTAACATAAAATACACCAGTAAACAATTTGTGTTTCCCTTGAAGTATTTGCACATCACGCACACGTAAAACACGAGCAGATCAGCGTTCATGCTGAACCCAACAGATATTAATATTTTGCCCAAAGAATAGAAAAAGTAAATAAGAGGCACTAGTGTCAATGTTCGTTTTTCTTTTTATTATACACTTATCTTATGGAAACTCGAAATGGGACGCACTAAGAGACGCGTTAGTGACATCAGTAAACAATATCATCCCAAAGGAGAAGGGACGAAGAAGTAAAAAACGAATGGATGACTGATGAGATTCTCAACATGATGCAAAGGAGACAGAAATCTTCCAAGATACGGAACGGAATACAGAAAATTACACAATGAAATAAGGACCAAATACAGGCAAGCTAATAAAAAGCTAAACAAAAAATGTACAGAAATAGAGAGATTGAGTACCACCAACAAAGATATGCACAAACAAATAAAGCAACTAACAGGACAAAAGACATAGAGCGCTCATATTAGAGAAGGAAAAATTCATCAACGCTGGAACGAATATATTGGAGAACTCTTCCACGACGAAAGAGAACAACCGGCAATACATAGAACTACCAACGGACCTGAATTTCTAAAAACCGAAGTAGAAGCTGCACTGGCCAAATTGAACAGAAACAAGACGGCAGGGCCAGGCGGAATTGTAACGGAAATGCTGGCAGCCTTAGATGACTTTTGGCATAGACAAGATCACAGAAATAATAAATGAAATGTACAACAGTGGAGATATACCTGAAGGTCTCATCAGGTCTATCTTCATAGCTATGCCTAAGAAACCAGGTGCAAACGAATGTGAACTCCACCGAACAATAAGCCTAATGAGTGACATGACAAAACTCATCATCCGTATTCTGAGGAATAGAGCGCAGAAGAATCAGGCCAGAGATAGGACAAGAACAGTGCGGGTTCGTTAAAGACACCGGAACAAGGAACACAATATTTTTGCTCAGAATGTTATCAGAAAGAGCAATACAAATGCAGAAGGGCGTGCACCTATGTTTTATAGACTACGCAAAGGCCTTCGACAAAGTACGCCACAAGGATCTGTTGGAACTGCTCAACAACCTTGATATATTCGGGAAAGATATTAGAATAATCAAGAACAATAATCAGCAAACAACATGCAGGCGCATATAGAACGAGTTCAACGAATATAAAAAAAATAGAAAGGGGTGTAAGGCAAAGATGCGTCTTCTCACCGGACATATTCAACCTATACAGCGAGGCAATTCTGAAAGAATTGGAAATCCTACCGGAATTCAGCATCGGTGGCCACAATCTTAACAACATAAGATATGCAGATGACAGGACTGAGAGCAGACACGGAAAAGAAATTACAAAACCTCCTACAGAAGGTAGCGAAGGAGAGCGAGAAGAAGGGACTAAGCATAAACTACAAGAAGACAGAATGCATGGCAATCAATAAAAGAATGAGCCCGAAATGCGATTTGCAGGTCGGGGAAACTAAAATCAAGCAGGTGGAGAAGTTTAAATATCTGGGAAGCGTTTTGACAGAGGATGGCAAGTGCGACACTGAGATCCGTAGGAGTATTGGGATGGCCAAGGACGCATTCCAAAATCTGGGCACAGTATTGTGAATCAGGGGGATCTCTTTGGTAACAAAGAAAAAAGTACTGAGCTGTTACGTAAAATCTGTCCTCCTATACGGCAGCGAATGTTGGACGGTCTCTTCAAAGATGAAGAAGAGACTCTAGGCGACGAAGTTCTACAGAAGGATGATAAAGATATCATGGACCGAGCGTGTGAGTAACGATGAGGTCTTAGATAGGAAGCAAACAAAGACGAGGCTTACACTTAACATCAGGAAGAGGCAGCTGAAGTTTCTGGGACACGTAATAAGAAAGGAGGGCCTGAAGAATCTGATACTCAAATGTCTAATAGAGGGAAAGAGTGACAAGAGAAAGCAATGCATAAAATACCTGTCGGACTTAAGCAAGTGGATGACAGAACGTGGTCTTGAGGGATGAAACTTATTGAGAGCGACAAGTGATGGGGGAAGTGCAGAGCCATGATCGCCTACGTCCTGAAAGAACACGACACATGTTCTTCAAATAAAAAGTCATATAGATTCATTCATGAATGATCATGAAATCTACTATGTTTTATAATATAGGTATATTATATGAAATATCCTGCCTATTAATAATGCAGATATTTCTCTTATTTATAAAAATCATTTTCCATATTACATTTAGAAGAGTTGGGAAACAAATAATCATCATCGTCGTCGTTATCATCATCATCCTCATCATTTCCATTACTAAGTCTGGTTATAGATTCGCTGCGCAGCTGATCACCTGACCAGGTGCCTCCACATGTCTGTGCAGCAATGTCTGAGTCTCTGTGAAGGATCTTTCTCTCTACTCATTGTCGTTATCAATCCATTTCCCCGCCTTGCTTCTTCTTTTTGCTTATATATATATATATATATATATATATATATATATATATATATATATATATATATATATGCGAATGTCAGTGTACCACACTTTTCAGTTAAAGGGACACAACCCTATAATTTTTAGATAATTCATCTTCTGTATAATAAATGCGAATGTCAGTGTCACACTCTTTCAACTTTACTTCTAGAGGCCGTAGCCCAACATATCATACCATTGTGGAATCAAGCCGACTCCATGAGCAAATTAAAAACATTCTGGCTGGACCCGGACACGCAATCCTAAAATTTGGGATTCCCAAGTTTTCATTACTGTGATTGTTTCCGGTGATTTTTTTACTTGATATTTTGCGATGACTTTTTTTGTACGATAACAATTTTTATAACTTGGAAATAAATTTGGGAATAGTCGAAATTAATTGCGAAATCCAGCGAAGTCATCCATCAAATAAAAATAATTTTCTGAGCGGAAAGTAAGGTTCTACGTACATAATGTTGTCATTAAATTAAGTGGCGGCAGAAAAATTATCTTTCATCTTTTAAAAGGTAAACTCAAATATTAATGCAATACTTAGATGTAGCAATCAATTTTGAGTTCTTCTGTAGTTTATTGTTGCCTGTTGTGACGAAGGCCCAATCAAGAGCCTTCCGGAGGATTAGCTTAAATGCCGCCTGATGGGGCGGTTTTTAAGTTAGTGTGTGTGTGTGTATATATATATATATATATATATATATATATATATATATATATATATGTGTGTGTGTGTGTGTGTGTGTGTGTGTGTGTGCGCGTGTGTAAAATTTCACATATTACTAAAAATGTGTCTGCAAAAGAACAATATGAATAAAGACAAAAAGAAAACTTAGTCGAAGCGTTTCGTCATCTGATGGACTTTATCAAGACAAATGTAAGGGTTTTTTATTTTGCAACAAGTATTTATATTTTATATTTATTTACTTTCGTTTACATATATATATATATATATATATATATATATATATATATATATATATATATATATCAGATATTTTTTAAAATAAATTTTTCAAATGAAATGAAGAAATTGTGCCTATTTCAATTATAACGTTACGCGTCTTCGCAAAAATGTAAATTTGAAAATAACAACGTTCACGAGATTTGAAAAATTAATAACTAACGTATCATATTTAGAAATGTGGCACAGAGTTATTACAAGACTTTAATTCTTGACAACGATTGAAGTCAGTCAAAAGCTCGAAGTATTTAATAAAAAAAATTAAAAAAAGATAATCCAAATTTAAAAAGGAAAAAGCTAGAAAAGCGAATCGATTAAAATTTCGATTAATTCAAACCGTCCTAGTCAAAATAAGTCGAATTAATCGATTACATTTTCCTTCTAGTTTCATGTTTGACTAAACGGAATCGTAAAAAAAACAAAAGTACAATTTCTTGACTCAGGGGCTGCTGTGTAGTATTTTTGTCTCACATACTGAAAGAATGTTTTTTGAACCAGAAAAATAATGAGGTTCTATTAGATTATAAAAAAAGTTGTTCTTAAATGAAAAAAACAAACTTTATTAACGATGTTAGCAAGCCAGAAACGGAGAAATCACATGTTTCGTTCAGATAAAATAGTTTCATTAGCTTATTGATCGATTAATTGAGCAAATCTTCGATAATACTTGCATACTATACACAGACAATTTTCAGAAAATTGAAAATAAAGATACTTAAATTTATCCCCATTGTTTGACATCGAATGATTGTATGTCTCGATACTTACTCAACAGAAGAGTACGGGAAAAAATAATAAGAGAAATATTGTGTTACGCCAATATTACAAATCAATAGAGATACCTGCCTAAAAAAAATCAGCATTTAAATATAAAAGTTCTTTTCATGATTGAACATAGACTTCTGACACCAGGATGAAATAGATAATTATTTCGTTGCTCAGAAAAAAATAATGACTGTTTTTGAAAGCAATAAAAATGGATGCAAATGTAATTAAAGTTTATTTAATCAATAAAATAATTTCCGTTATTCGCAATTGCAGTAACTAAACATCCAGGTAATTTTCCTATTGCTTGCCGAAGAAATTTTGGGCTTTTTAATGAAAAGAAATCTGTGAGATCTGAACTGATATCTTCCTTATTTCTTGATGACCTGGCACTAAAAAATGTGATCAAAACCCAAGAATACCCTGGTCTGGTGATGTGTGAAGTATAAAGTAAAACATTATCGCCTAATTTATCTTTTCCTGGGAGCTTGCTTTGTTATTGGGAGATCTCACAATTTCTCGTCAAATCTTTGTTATTTTCACTTAAGTTATTTACAATAATAGTATGTTGTTATACGTTCTCTAGGCTTCAGTAACTAATGTTGATCAATGTTTTTTTCAATTTCTACAAGATGCACAGAAAAACATTCTGTTGAAGTCTTGGTTGCTGTACTGAGATCACTTTAACATGGGATAATATCATAATAATCTCTATTTTTTGCGTTTATTGTTAACCTACAATACCGATTTTTCATTTCCTCCATTAAGGAAAATAGAGGTTTTCATTACTCGTCAGCATACTGTTGCAAATAGTTCAATTTAATGTTCTTTTCTCTATAAAGACTTCATTGCAAACCCAAATTACTTCATTATATTTAATTCCAATTTGATCAAGATGTTTGTGTATCGTTGAACATGACATTTTGTGACTTTTGTTAAATATCTGCCTCCTCTTTGACGAGAGTTCATTTTAAAAAAACTTGTAAATTATCCTTATCCTTATAGTTGCTTATTCAGAGCGACGCTTCCCATGCTAAATCACAGTCACCATTCTTAGATTTCATAAACTATAGCTAGCTTTTAGAATAGTCACTGCACCTGGAAAACGCAGCACAAATATATTTTTGTCTTGTTTTACTAACTTTATGAAATTAATACAGTTATGTACGATACGACATTAAAATTTTCCATGTTTATTGTAAACTATTAACTATGCATCTTCTGAAGTCTAAGTGTAGTTGCCTATTCTTTCTGCTTAGCAACAATTGTTTAACATCAAATTTGAATTCCCGACTTGATATAATGATTGCGTCACAATAAACTAATCTTTATTTGTAGTAATTACGTTTGGTTAGGTAAGGTGAGGTTAGGTTAGGCTGCTTTGATTTTGCGACTTGTTAACCCTTCTTTAGGATATTTAATGTCGATATTTTGTATGTGGGGGAGCCAGTGATGGCCGGACTCACTTTTTTATATTAAAGATCACCCAATACAAAGCACAAGTGTTACTGCACGAGTGTTACTAAGATCATAGAGGTGGGATATGAATGGACGAGGAGGTGATAGGAAATGAAGATTATTAGGATAAGAAGGGTAGATAACGAGTGATGTTTGACTTTATAGAGCTCAGGGAAGCATCCACACTGGAATTGTTCCACAATGTATCAGTTCTTGGGGAAAAGCTTTCTGAGTGGAACTTTCTACTTACACTTGGAATACGAAGGAAATGAGAATGTTTCGACTTTGTGAAAGTATTATGAAGTCTGAACTGGTAGCACTGAAGAATGTAGCTGATCTGAACATTTGCTCTGGAAATAACGATTAGTGTAGTAATAAGCTCTTAACGATGAGGAATTTTGTCCTTGGTCAAAAACTGCCGCACAAGCTGCGCTTAATGGGCAGGTCTGTTTTCATGATTAAGTTGCCACTCACCGAATGCACATAATTCTGTCCTTTTCAAACGAAGAGTATCCAACAAACGCGTCACAGTAATACACCTTGTGTGCTGTCTGTTTAGTGGCTGACCATCTGGAACGTACTCACGAAGAACAGTGCCTTTGTAGTCGAAGAAAACTGTCAACGGTGTCTTCACATTGCTTTGACTCATTCGTGCTTTCTTCGGTTTTGGAGAGGTTGAGGTCTTCCATTGCGATGACTGTGCCTTGATTTCGCTGTCATAGATATAGACCCGTGATTCGTCACCTGTTATGACCGTTTTCAAAAAGTATTCTCTGGTTTGGCAAGACAAACACACTCTATTCACTTTCCTTCCAATCACTGCTATAAAAAGGAAAGTGAGCGATAACGTTATAACTTAGTTCAAAGTAAAGCGGTTTCACTCTGCGTACATTAATTCTGTTACCATAGCAACAGACCCGATACTTTTTTATCAGACCTCGCATAAGATTGAAAACAGTATATGCCTGTAGATCGAATAATAGATTATACTGAAAAAATTTCAAATATGACAAACTTCGGGGAAAGGCGAGAACTGGTATCGGTCAAAAAAAAATTATGAGGAAGCTTTTTGTGGTGTTTCTTGACGTATAATCTGCAACTTCCTATAAACAGTCGCAGAAAGACAAACTAATGTGACACGATAACTAGGCGTCTATTAAAGTTGATTTGTAAAATATGTATTTTATTTTAATAAATTAAGAATAGAAAACGGTTAAGAATAGAAAAATAGTTTAAAAACATGTGTTTCGTTTAACAAAAGTACTAAGGGAAAAAAAAAGGAAAAATAAATAAATAAACGCTTTTTCTTTTATAAGTAAATTTATGGAAGAGAAAGGGCATCAGATTACTGTTAAATCCTACCAGTCATCCAATAAAATATTTGACTAAGTGATTAGATGTGATAAAAGATAAACGTTTAGGAAATAGATTTTAAATGACCAGGTCAAAAAACCTTCTTTACTGTATCTCGGCAACATTAAGGAAATGAAGAAAAGATAACAAATTTTCCCTTTCTCCAGGCAATAAAAAAAAAAGAAAAGGCTATAAAACATCCGACGGCCTTCACACGAAGATTTGTTAAGATAAAAGATTTAAAATCCTGGAAAATACATCGTGGGAGGCCGATTACAGACAAGGATTTTTTACACATCAAAGAAAGCAAAATTTAAGTACCTTGAAATTTTAACTTACAGTCATAATGCTTATCTTTTATTTTCACCCGGTGGTCTAGGGACTTCGATTAGTTCAATATAAATACGAGTGATTTTTTCCGAGCCGGGCAGTTCAGCCGGGTGTGTGGCTTTGAAGTAGCCATGTGTATCAGGCACACTGAAGAAGTGAAACTCCGTTCGTCTGAGTCGGTCGGTTCGGCATTTGATCTCCATTAGTTAGAGTTAGAGCTGAGTGTCACATCGCCTACCCCAACGGCAAGACTAAGTCTGGACGAAATAAAGCTTGATTAAACTCATCTAAGTTGTGGAAGTTCGTTCCTCAATGCTTTATCTTGTGCCCCCCAACTTGAGACTTCGACTTTTTAGACCAACCCCCGGCAACATCACAGCGTGGAGAACGGCCGCCGGAGAAATTGTACGGAGCTCACAGTGGGTGTTACACTAAGGAAAAATGATTCCACTTGGTGCACGTGTTGCAGTAACAATTAATCACTGGGCAGCTCTGTTAACCGTTGGGATGTGGCTATGGACCAGTTTGAAAATGATGTTGATGTTGGCTACGCACTAAATGAAGATCGAACTCACTAGAATAGTTAATGGGGGGCTAAATGGATATTCATGACACCACGTTCATGTTTCCTTCTTTCACCATTTCTATCTCATTGCTTTTTTCTCTCAACTTTTTTCTTTTGTCACCTCTTCTTCTTCTTCTACTTTTTTTTATCTCCCTTTCTCTCATTTTCCCCAACCTTTTTACCTCTTCATTTCCTTTCTTTCTTTTTCATTTCCCCACCCACCCAATCAGTCTCTTCTGACTTCTTTTTAAATATGTCCGTTCAGGACTTAGGTGATCATACCTCTCCACAGATTTCCTTTTATGTTATGTAATATCAGTCTTCCAAAATCGGCAGTGAATGCTGGACAATCTTCTCACAAATAAAGACGACACTTAAAGCAACAAAATTGTGGTTTTACATAAGGATGCTGAGAATACTATGGATTGAATATGTGAGCAACGACGAAGTTTTAGAGAAAATGGAAGCAAAAAGGACACTTATACTTAACATCAGAAAGATAGTTAAAATTTCTAGGCTATATAATGGAGTAAAAAGACTTAAAAAAATTAACACTCACAAGATATACTGAAGGCAAGAAGCACAGAAAAATACTGCGCATAATCTACCTAAAGAACTTGTGTAAATTGTTGGTAGAACAAGGTTTAGACGGGAGAGAGAGAGGAAAAATATAAAATTTACTAAGAGCTACAAAGGGCATGAAATTATGGAGAGCCACGGTTGCCAACGTCCAAAAGGGACATGGCACACAGAAGATTTGTCATGACTTCTTGGGAAAAACAGTGGAGTGGTTTTCAGTTGTTTTCTCCGCAGTTTCGAATTCAGATTTGTCCTTCTTTCAGACTATCTGCCACCCAAAGCTTGAAAGCACTAATTTACTATTTAATCCATAGATGAGGAGAGGAGAAACATAAATCCGTTCCGTGCATAAGAATTTGAAGTTGAAGTTGACTTGTCGATTCCATCTCACGTGCCGATAACCGTTACACTACCTACACGTCTATAGCTCTGAATTAACCAAATAGAAATTTTCTATTAAATCTCACTAATATCAACACTCGGGTAAACTGTTCCTATCTAATTTGATAAGAATTAATAATAGATACAATCCAGGCTTGCAAATTACTGATAAAATGAGTTCTAATGGCTGTGGAGGGATGGAGTCTCTAAGTCTTGTCTAACTTTCCACGATTGAGTTTCAGTATTGATAACGAGTAATGATTAATCATGAACATGACTTCCATCTGTCATGGTTTATACTCTGATAAGAACAAAGCTTCGAATTTCTAGCCACCCAAAACTTATACTGACTATGTAATATCGACTATAATTCTATTATAATGTGTCAACGTTTAACCTTTAAAATGTGTTTGTACATTCGATAGAAATAGGGAGATGAACACTAACTGACGCCGGCAATGGTGGGTAGACGTCCAGCCCCAACTCAAGATAGATATTTTCTAAATTTAGGTTAGTCTGACATGAGGCCACAAATGTCGGTGTGAGTAGAATCGAAGTCGCTACAAACGCGTTTAACAAATTAGATTGCAAACTTTAGCCCTCGATTAGATGTCCTTGCATTATTTACTCTGCTTATCTTAGCCTTGTGCAAGAACACAAATGCGGGGTGCCAACTGTGGGAAGTCGATTTTGGAACTACGATCTTAGACAAGTCGAGATAGTTGGAACATCATAAACTAAAATCAGGCACAAATTATTTTATTTTCAACTTCTACCATCAATTGAGGAAATCAATTTAAAAATTGAAATCTTCAACTTCGATAGTCTTGCAGTGTTGCCTGAATTGGTAACCAGGCTGAAGTATTCCTTGCTATTATAAGAAAAATAAGTAAATGAATGTAAAATCGATATTTAATATTTGTTTTTGAAATATCGAAAAGAAGAGAAACAAATAAAAAAAAAACGTGCAGATTATATAAGATACGTTATTTTTAAAAAAAAAAAGCATAAACGAGGTATTTAAATTGCAGGCAACGTTAAAAACACTATATTTTAAAGTCAATTTTCTTTTTGTTTTTAAAAGAAGTGTTTTTAAGTGAGCTCCGTATACCGTATTAATTTACTTATTTTAAGCAGGTACCACCAGAAATTCGCTAAAAAGTGAAACTCATGAAAAAATGCTCAAAGTATATAAAAGAGTTGCTAAGTTCATATCAGAAAGTTCTCGTGTTGAACATCTGAAGACCTTCAGCATATAAGAGAGAGAGAGAGAGAGAGAGAGAGAGAGAGAGAGAGAGTTCTTATAAATGTGTATATATCTAAGTATCTAATGATAGCAGTAATCCTTTCGACTCTGTAGGATTTTAGGTGTCTGAAAATGTAAGCATGGGAGAACGGACGAAATTATTTTCATCGACTCTATGGCTGCTTTGCCTTGTCGTCTCTGCGTGTTTATCACTTTTTTCGAGACAAACGAATTCATTTCAGAATTGCTTCTTGATTTCTGATTAGTTCACAGATGTGGTTCATTTGATCATCTCTTTTTCTTCACCTACATTTAGGAGTGGTAACATTTTAGCTGCTTTTATTTAATTTTTTCTTACCTTTTTTATTTCATTTTTATTTATATTTTATTTTTTTATATAGCAAACTAAAATGTTTGCCAACTTTTAGTTTTCTTTTTCTTTTTTATTTATTTTGAAATAGTGAACTTTTTATTTTTCTATCATTACACATAATAAAAACAAAATATTGGCATAAAAATATTTGAAAGAAAAGATCCAAGGAATTTTTATGCTATTTTTTTTTTTTTTTTGTGAATTCTTTTTTAGAACCTTGAAAATTTTGCTTACAATCTTGTTTTTAAGCAAGTTTTTTTGTTTTTTTTTTAAAGAAGTATATCTTTTTCATTTTAATATCATTGCTTTATGAGAAAGATGTTTATTAAAATGTGTTTAATTTATTATCATTTCTTGTAGTCGTATTAGTTTCTCAAATAGTGGATAAAATTGGTTTAAGAAACTGGAAATTGATATTTTGAGTAAAGCTGGTATCTTATAGTATTTTAAAAATTCCTAGATATGCAGTCGAACTAATCAGGGGACATGGTTCCCTCAATCTTGGGGTATTCATTCTTAATGCCTTTCTTTTGACGATCAAACCCACAATTATGATTTGCGAGATTGGTTTAGTGTTGTTACACGGGCAAGCGTTTAACTAATCGAATCTTCCGTAATAAGTAGTGACTTCATGCCACCTATTTTTCAGTAGTTTTAAAAATCAGCGAGTCATTTCATTTACTCCATAATATCTTAAATGTTTCGGAGTATATCATAATGCAGTATTTCACGCTGCCTATTATTATTATTATTATTATTATTATTATTATTATTATTATTATTGTTGTTGTTGTTGCTGCTGCTTGTTCAAAATTTCATATTGATCCTTATTCTATTAAACAATGATCTGCCTCTTTAAAATACAAATATACTGTAGCGGTTGAGACACGCCTGATTCACACTAAGAAACTCGGAATGCCGCCTTAACATCGCTTTAGTTTAAACGGTGAGGAAGGTTGTGTAGGAGTTACCAGAAATACCACTCCAAAACAATGAACTTGTGACTTGTGATTGACTATAAGAGAAAAAATGAATCTCCTCCATACTGTATGCTGATTTACATACACTCTCTATACATATTGTGGATGGCAAAAGAAAGATTATGAAGCGCCGGCCTACCGAAGGGAAAATTAAATTAGCAGAACGAAATGAATCACAACTGTATCAAATTTAATTGTCTATCTTTCTTATTCTGAATAGGACACTAAAATAATGGATTCAGAACAATAGAGCGTCTTTGATCAAGAACAAGATTCTTATTCGAAAATGTTGAGTTAATGAATTTGCTACGGAAATTTACTGCTAATCAGAGCTTCGGAAATAAGAGAAACAATAGACATTTTCACAGTATATCCGCTGATCCAGATTTAGTCGAAAAGGTTTGAGAAAGAAGATGGGAAAACGAATAGAATTGAAAAGTGAAGGAGGAAAATCGATGTTAAAAAACTGAAACGAAAAGTTTCCGAATCACATGAAAATAGTTGTCTTGCAAAACAACAGTGACGTTGGAACTGCATGTTTTATGTCCTGGATAATGTCGTTTATGATGTGCAGGTAGTGTAACGGGTAGTAACCTGGAAAGAGAAATCGAAGAACCGAATTCGAATTCCTACCGATTTCGTTACATTCCCTTTCGTTACGATACTCTTGTTTTCCCTTCTCAGCTATTCTTTAAACAGCAAGAGAGACTGAGTTTTTAGCCGTGACTGACTTCAATACCATTTTTGTTCTAATTAAACCAAAAGTAAAATTTAAATTACACTCTATTGCATGTAAACTGTGGGGTAAATTATTGTTCTAGCCCAGTTTCCTTCTTCAGTCTAGTGTATGTTTCAATTTTAATTAAAGCTTTGGTAGAGAGCTAATACTCTAGTTAGCAGAGAACTGCCCCACCTTGACACACTGTATATGTAGCTCTGGCGTTGTGCATGTTACACGGTCATTGAAAACATGATGGAGTTCACTGCGGCGTAAATTCTGTGATTTCGGCTGAGATCGAAAAAATGCCGTTTCTTCATTCAGATACAGGCGTATTAAAATAAATTCAACGCTCAGAATG